TTCTATTTTCAAGCATAACGAATGGAGAATATAAATTTTTTATTAACATAAAGGAAAGTATGAAATTGTTAATTGTTTGTTGGATTCATATGTTTTTCTTAAACATTTTCGAAGTTTATCTTTAATGAACGTAATATTGAAATAATATGAACTATAATAGGAGAAAAATAAGTTAAGATAAGTATATAATCACATTTATAATAGAATTTTAATTAGTGTCAATTTTAAATCGTGTCAAAAAAATAATTCAATCTATAAAGGAATTATTAATTTTGAAAAGATTAATTCTATATTATTATTATTTCTTTATTTAATTTATTTCATGATATTAAAATTTAAAAAAAAAAATATTTCACTTATATTCACTGATAAGAATAGAATCTTGAACAAAAGATTTTTTTTTTTCTTTGTTATTGTTTTCATTTTTTTTTTGTTTGTTTTATTTTTATTTTCGAATTTTCTACAAGAAAATTATCAATGAAAAAAAAACATATTTGAAATATATCTAAATGTGTATAAAACTTTTTTTACATATAATTTTACCTATTAAAACTCCTAAAGCCAATAATAGGATGAAGGGTCTTCTTCTTCCATATTTCAATCTGCATCTGTCGCTCAAGCTTCCTAAAATCGGCGTCACGAAAAAGCCAATAAGAGGGCTGAGTGCCCAGACGAGGGTCATATGCTGATGATCGACGCCGATTTTCAATAAAGTTGGTGAAACAAATGCTGTTTCCGCGGCATATGAAAATTCGATTCCCATTACAGCCGCGGATACACGTACCAATTCTCCTCGCGTCTTTTTTCTGGAAAATATTTCAACTTTTAATTTACCTAATTCTTTTCTTGATTTGTTCTTCTCTATTAAATTAAATAATCTATTGAATACAATATGAATACAAATTCACTTTTACTTTCAAAATAAAATGAAAAAATTAATTGTTATTCTAAAAAAATTTCTTTTTTATTTTTCGATAAATTTGCGATGATATATGATGATATTTTTCCTCCTATTTTAAACAAAAATATTTCATAGAATATTATTTATAATAAAGAAGATTTCAAAAATTTTTTAATCCTCTATTTTATTTATTTATCACTATTATATTTTATATAGTACTATTACATCAATATCAAATTATCTGCAAATATATCTGCAGACATAATTACTTTACTCATCATAAATCAAAGTAAAAATAGTTTTATAAATATAATTAAAAAAAAAAATAATATTCTAAATAATAATTTGTTATATAATTTGTTTTATTCGCCAAATATTAATATTATAGTTTACTTCGAATTTTATGTATTTTTCCATACTCTTGCACTTTGACATTTCCCATAAATGCAATATACCTGTAAATATGCGCATAATCATCCAAAGTTCTCTCCAACTTTGGCGGTCCTCGTATATGATTCAAGATCCCCTCGATCCCTTGGTCCATCGGTATCCCATTCTTCCACTCCTTCCACGCCTCCCATTTCTCTTTAAACTTGTCTCGAACATCGTGCACCCTCCCAGCGAAACCTTCGTACTCGTGCAATTTATCCACCATAATTCACGGATCTTTAAAGCTCTTCCTCACCTCTAACAGTTCTGTCTCTCATCATGTCGCGCAAAGAATTTCTCGTATGAAAAGTCCATGAAAAATCGATCGATCACGTCAATCAAAAATACACCAATTAACTTTTGCGAAGAAAACTTAAAATCACAAGATAAAAAGATTTTTATTTTTTTAATCACTTCTGTCACGTATTGTTACTCCTCTTCTTTTTTTTTTTGTCAACGATAAAAGAGATTTGTTCTTCTTGGAATAAGATACACGGGATAATGATTTTTTTTCCTCGAAAAGAAGGAGAAAGATTAATGGAACGAAAATGTAGAGATTACGATTAAATTTTGCCGATTTATCGCGAATGTTTCTTATATAGGGTTGGGGGTGTGCTTCATCGACGAGACGCGAGAAACGACTGACGATTCTGCAAGCTCGCGACCAAGACGAAAGCTCGACCTACGCCTTTCTCCTAGTGGATACCTACTTACTTACCTATAGTTCCTCCATCCAAGTTCCGGATGTAAAATGAGCTTCCCGTGTACCAAGGGAAACCTATTTATCGAGTGACTACTCGTTAGTGTTGATTAAGGTTTTGTTGTTGGTTTGAAATTTGGTTGGCAATTCTGCTTTTGAATAGAAGCATTGAAACGTTGGATTTCATTCCAGATGAATGGACAATAATTTTTTATGAAGATATTAAAAGTTTTAGAAGAAGACGTGAAAATATGAAGAAACTTTAATATATAGAAATATGAAAATAAATGATAGAAATATTTTTCTTAAAAATAGAATGATTAAAGTTTTAATGATACATAAAAATTCAATATTAAAATATTTAATTTTGTTTTTCACGTATATAAATATGTCTTTGTCGTAATGATTAAATAAAAGATATTTTAAAGTCATATTTCGCCATTCTTGAAATAATTTTAAATTGAATACTAGAAATGATCTATTATTAAATTTGTACCAATTCCAACGGAGAATATATTATTATATCGGCGATATAAAATATAAATAATTTCACAGAAAAAGATTGAAATAAAATGTCATATGCAGACATTTTTGATATGAATAATCATCTGTATCGAATCAGTTTTTGTCTTTTCTCTTCTGAACAGTTACTTTTATTCTTGACACGTAAGTAAGCATACAATGTTTACGCGTGTAAGTACATGGAAAGGTTTTCAACAAAGCTTTTCATCGTTCATCGTAGATGTAATTTCCGCCGCGGAAATTGCACTTTGTCGATTCTCTCTTTTCCACAAGGATTTTCGATTCGATTTACTACTGAAGAATGTTCTATATTCTATAGCCTCGCAGTCAATAGTCTATTTTATTATATCCTTAGATTTTCTATCATTTTTTTCTTTTACACACATCAATATACTTGCCTTTTTTTTTTTAATTCTTCGATCGTTCTTGGAATATTTTATTTTTTAAAAGAAATTTTTTTTCAGATTTTAACACGATTACAAAATTTACAAAAATTTATAAAATTTTTTTTTTTAATATACGATATTTTGCGTTTTGTTCTAATTTATTTCTGTATTTCAATGATAAACAAGAAAATAATTAGAAAATATAATATTTTATATTTTCTTTTTAATATTTTTAATTTCAAGAAGAAATACTTTTATTATTTTTACATTCCAATAAAAAATAATAATTTATTAAAATTTTTCTACACATATGTATATTTTATTTTTATTTCAAAAAGTTTGCAATTATAAACAAAGCAATTGAATTTTACAAAAATTATTATTTATTCAATTTTCTGTTTATAAAAACAAATAAAAATATTTCATAATTATTTTCACAATCAAACCACATTCATATCCATATTTATCTTTCAAATATGCACATTGCGTAACATTTTCTCAATTTTATTATTTTTTTTTTTTTTTTTCATCATTGTGCAAGACCAGAAATAACGTGACTTT